TCTATGCGTCACAGAACCACTTACCGTCGGGTGGACAGTGTGCTCGTTTGTCACCCTATCCTATAAGAAAAAACGATATGTGAACACTGCATGTGGACTCTTGAAACCAACCCCAGACAAAGATTGCAGGATTCGTCCATGCTCTAAAATTCTGTCAGAAATGAGGGACCTGTGCCCAGCTGTAGGTCGTATGTGGGCTTACATAATTTTTTAAATCATTACATAACAAAAACTTCTATGTATACCACTACACCGGCTCTGCGGCCTTAATAATTTGCGCACTTAGTTACGGTTAATTCTCCATAACTTCTTTAGTCATCTGCGAGTGGACGAGAAGAATTATTTTTTTAGCGCTTTCTATTTTGCTACTGCTGCACCGCCTCTTGTTTGTATATCTCAGTTTAGCCTAATGGTTGACTGGGAGCATATGTAGAAATTTGTGCATGATAGATTAAATAAATAAAAAATTAAATAAGACTAGTTCTATGTTAACCGACTTCAGAAATAAGGAGATCCATAATTCTAATGTATTTTCTCTTTTTTATGTTACCTCATAACTTTTTTCTAGGTGAATCGATTTTGATGATTCTCTCTTTATTTGAACTTTAATGCTTCTCATGTAGTCCCATATAAAATTTTGATTCTGTTCGGGTTATTGGACGAATGTTGAATAATAATTTAAATTTTATGTTAAAACAGTTTAATAAACAAGTAAAAAATATATGATTAACATATGTTGAATAATGCTAAATGTTAATGTTAAATGCTGTGTTAATGAGTTCGCGTCCGTCGCGGTTACGGTGAAAACGTGAACTAACTCAGTTTTTATAATTGTCAAACTACGCAACGCAATCGCTATACATTGCGTAAAATGTTAACGCCAGCAGAAATGTACGGTTGGACCGTAAAGATTCTGACCTCTTCACAGATTCTGTAGTTTTTGAGTTATACCTAATAATTTATATTGATATCGGTTGTAAAAAACAGATAAAGATATAACTTTATTTCGTATTTACCTAAAAACAGTGACTGTCGTAAGTGAATATACAACTGCTTATCTACCGTGCGTTTTTTTTTTCTAAATTACCGGTCTAGTTGTATTCATAGATGTATTTTTAAACGGTCATGGAATATAGATAATATGATTTTGACATTATATTATAACAAAATATTACTTATACGTAGTTGTTTATTTATATTTTGCCTTTTAATTAAATCGCCTTATTTTTTCAAGCGTAGTTTTAAGTTCAAGGTTAATGTTTACTAGGTAATGTATATTTATATGCAAATATCTTCGCCGATCGTGTATATGCAAATGTCGGCTACTGTGGAAATGTACTCGGTTCACTATTTTCTCATGCTTGTATAACTGCCGACGTTAAATTTTATGATTCGTTCAATCGTATTTAAAACAAATGATTTTTTTTTTGAAAATGATGCATTAAAAACGTTTCATATACCACTTTTATCATATACTTAAATTTTCATCTGATTCTAAGCAGTGTTCAACATTTAAATCTCTAGTTCATCTCCCGATGAAATTGTTGGAAGTTAAAGAAAAATTAATTACTAAAGGACAATGTCCAAAACCGCCCTGTGTAATAAAAGCATCGGACATACACGATAATTAATTTTCTATTTTATTATATTAGTTGCAAATACTTTTATAACACGGACTAGCTGCATGCAAAAATGAACATTAGAAAGTATTATATTCGACTAATAACATTAATCGCCGCCATCTTTGCCAAACATCATGTGGTGTCGAAAAAGGATTAGGGATGCCCAATCGATTATAATCGATTATTGAATTTTTAATGAACTATCGTATATTTTTTTAATCTGAATTACATTTTAATTTATTTCGAATAAAGTTGCTAAAAGAAGCTACAATAAAAATATTATATTACCATTTCTTTATATTCTTTTATATTATTACAATTTTAAAAACCTACTATACCTATTGAATGTCGTACTCGATTTTGAATAGGTAATTAGAATATTGCTGAAGAAAAATATTCGTAAAGATAATTATTCAGGATTTTCTAATGATCGTTTAGACAGGAGTATATTTTACGTCTTACTAAACGATAACTTACGAGTTTACGACGATTAATTAAAAAAAAAACTGTTATCGTTACTGCATTAATTATAAATGTGTTTTTTTTTTTAAGAGCAATATTGCAGACTAGATACAGATATTATTATTAATATTGTTACAAGTATGGAAGAAGTAGAGACGTACGTGTTATTATAAGTAAAGTAGGACAGTGTTATGGTATTAATATTATCGTATGACGAAAGATGATATATACTATATAGATGGTATACTGTTTGTAACGTACGGCTTTAATAAATCTTAGGAAATATTCATAAGTCGTATCGTATTTAGCGCTCCTATTTCTGATGTCACTAAATGGTCACTTGTCAGTCTCCCATGAAAAAAATACGATCTCCAAATCGATTCAAATCGAACATACTAGAATCGATTCTCGATTAAATCAAGCATTAACAGATCTATTTTTGATCAATCGTGACATTTTCAAACATGCCTAATATAGACACAGAACATTATTGACGATAACTTACCGTAAATTCAAGTAACTGTATAGAAAAATCATTAAATTAATAAACATAACATTACGCCAGTATTATCCAGAAGGAGTAGGTAGAGGTGTGTAAGTACTGTTATGTTATACATCCCATGTAATAGGTGATGCGCGTATTGCCAAACACCGGACACAAATCCAGACTCCGTGCTATTACTGGGAACTTCAAGTTATAACAACCCAATCATAATTTGCCCAACCCTGGGATCGAACCCAGAACAGAACAATTTTTCTGTCTGTCACAAGGAACAGATGTTCCAACTATGCAAAAGTATTTCTTGAATCGTTTGAAATATAGCTAGTTCTTATAAGTCCGATTCGAGAGGTTTCTGTATCGACATCGGACAAGAATTTTTCAGATCTATATCGATCTGGAAAATTGATTCTGTTACTATAAACAATCGATTAAACGATTTCAAATGGACATGCCTACTTTGTACCGTCATCTCTAATTCTGTCAAAGTGACATTGGTTGGCGTTGTTTGCAATTGTAATTGTCTTTGTACATAATTGTATCGGTGTTGTGGTGACTTTCGGGAATATATATTGAACATTACGACTTGGCTATTTTAACGGACTCTGATTGCTTTCAAGAACGACTTACCTTTGTGATTTTTGGAACTGTGTACCACTTAAACGATAACCTAGCATTCATAAACGGACTTACGCATACGCAATGGAAAGTGTATTATGTGTAAATAGCGGCTCTGCTGGTGGTACAATATTGTTTAAAGATGAACAGAGAAGCAATCGTGCAATATTGCTGTAATTGCATCGTTGTACGCAGAACCATCGGTTGCTGCGCCCATGTTATGACTATTATTTGGTACTTGAGCTTTACGAGACATCAAAATAATATCGACATCCCTGCACAGTTTTTAGACAATATTCTTATTTCCAATTTAGAAAAAGAACAATAAACATGAAATTAATTTGTGTTTTATTTCTAATTCAAACATAATAAGTTAATGTACGTGTAAAAACAACTTATACTACCAATTAGGTACTAAGTCGGTAGGGCTGGTTTCATAGTCACGCGTCTGAACAGCGCCGTCCAGACGCACACGCTTGCAAATGTACTAGATAGTAGTCTATAATATTCACGCTGTTCATGCGCGCGCTGTTGAAACTTGGTTGAAACCGTGGTTGATACACTCGCTGTTCGACGGCATGTCTAGCGTCGTGACTGACAGCCTAAATCCTTATACATTTAGGTACTAGGTATCTTACCGTACCGTATATGCTAATGACAACATCTAAATACTAACAGCCATTATATACATATATTTTTATTTTTACATTAATACACACAAAGATTATCTCTCATTTCAAAACCAATGCTCAGAAAGCAGGTTTGTTAACTACATTCTATGCATTTATACGTTGCACTTACATACACTTAGGGTTTAGAACAAAAATTGCATACCTAATTATGTAGATAGGTACTAGAAATAGCTAAATGTTTTAGGACATCGTTTTTCAGTTTGTTAAAAATCACTCGGATCTATGAAAAACCGTAATATTCATGGTTCGATTATAACCTCAAAATCTGATACTTTTTTTGAAATATATCTATTATGCAGCTAGTCCGCTATAAAAATAAGATCAAATAGGAATTTACTAATGATCAACAATAAAATACATAATTTTCCGATGCTCTTGGTTCCAGGGCGAAGAATGTATAGGCGGAGGGCAATGTCCTTTGAACCGAAGACACATACAAAAGCAAGTTAATGAAAAAGCAGTAAAATGACTTTTATTAAAAAGAAAAACCGACCTCATTAAACTAAAAAGAATATAATATTTTCCACACAGCTTCAGAAGTCGTTGATAAAAAGTGTATAGAGTTAATGCCCTGGTTCAATGTTGTAAAAAAAAGTTATGTTTGACTCTTATGAGTGGATTATCGTACATCATATATGGTATATACAATATCTTGAGATAACAACTAGAATATCGTATAAATAGGTACATAAAACTTTTATTCCCCATTCCAGGCTTAAATTTTCCTTTTATTTGGTCTTAAAAATAGCAATATTTTTATCACTATTTTAATCCTTATCACAGTAAGTGCTTATATTCAGCCTTTTAAATAGCCTGACCCATTATGCTTGATCGTGAGTAATTCTTTTCAGTTGGATGATTAGATGTTATAACTTTTTCAACACATTTAACCACCGCAGTTTAAGTCTTTTCCGTTGCTTTTGGCTCCCAATCACATCGTGTCTAACGTTTAAACGCTTTTTAAGTCCGTGTCATTACGAAACAAAGAGTGTACTTCGTTCGGTAATATTACGGCAGCAAGTCTTTAGTTCGTAGGTAACTAAATGCGTCGCACGTTTCTTAATTGCCTCTTAAATTATTCACTAAAGTAGCAAGCCTGCCTCCCTTTTAACGCGCTGGTTGCAAAGCAAGAGGTCCTGAGCGTCCTTGACACATACATTCTTGAGTACTGGCTTTTAACCCTCTTATTCCAAGTTGGTAACTTAAACTTTTTTTTAATAATGACTTTGATATTTTTCTATCTAGGATGTCATAAGTCTAGTTATTCAGATTAGTTTAAAATAAATAGTTAATAGAAAAATATTCAACGAGATACTGAAAATATGGAATCTATTTTGAATTAGAATTATTTAACATTTATAGGATAGTGGCATATATATGCGTAATAATAATACGTAAAAACCCTAAGGCTCAGTGATTTTTGCATGCCTTAGCGCGAAGCGTGCAGGTATGTTCTGCTAGGGCCTAAAAATTAAGATTTCAACATTTTGTCGCATGAAATCCTATCTAGCAATCATATTATAAATAAAAATGTTATAAAAGCACATTGTCAGAAAGATAAATGATTGCTTAACTTATTTTTTTTAAATCGCTTAATTACACACACGATAACTTTTGAAAACATCAATTATTTAACTCAAACTATTTTTTAAAACTCTTTATCTATTATGTGGTAAGCCATGGAATTTGAATGGCAGTTTGATTTTGTTTGTTTAGTTATAATAAGTTTTTTTCGGCTAAGAAATGGCGAAATTTTCGGTGGTTTAAGAGATTTGATTTAATTTTTTTACTAAATAGTCCGCGAGCCATAGCCACAGACAGAGTACTTTATTTACTCCGGGCTCAAATGCCGTCGTGAGTGGTCGTTTTTCACTGCGGCTCGTGCAGAAAAATATCGATCGCCGTAGAAATACAAAATATTCCAAAAACCAAATTTGGAACATATGTTAGATGCTAGTATTATTTTTATAATCACAGAATTTTATTACAATATTTTGTTTCGCTAAAAGCACACAGGATTTACATATAAATATACTTATACGTCTTGGACTATATAGACCTGAAGGTGTGTCGGTATCTGCTACTGGAACTCTTTGACGAGGAGAACTAGACGCACCGAGTTTGGCTTCGTTTTGTTAGTTATGATTAGATCTTACTTCCGGACTTGATAGAGTGACTTGAAAGTGTACCTTAAAGACTGCTACTGGAACTCCTCAACGAGTAGAACTAGATTTGCCGAGTTTGGGCTCGTTTTGTGAAATCTTACCTCCAGACTTGATAGAGTGACTTGAAAGTGTACTTTGATAACTTGGATGATATAGCTGCAGCTTGGTACTACCTATGATTCGGGTCTAGATATATAATATGTATACACATATACATACATACATACATATATATACATACATACATACATATAATCACGCCTCTTTCCCGTGGGGGTAGGCAGAGACCAGTTCTTTCCACTTGCTACGATCCTTGCATACTTGTTTTGCTTCGTCCACTTTCATTATTCCCTTCATACATGCTCTACGGTTTAGGGTACTCTTGACCTGGCCTTTTTTCAAGACGTCCCTGATTTGGTCTAGAAATGTCCGCCTAGGTCTACTTCCAACACTTTCATTCACACTTGCCTTATACACTTTTTTCGTCAATCGTTCTTCATTCATTCTCTCGACATGGCCATATATATATATATATATATTATAATATGTATACTGGCTCTACTACACCTGTGTCCTAGTTTTGGGGTATTTTTTTAATTATATAATAAAGTTATTGCTCTTAGACTTTAAAATCAACACATCAGTCGTCTCACGGACTTTAATGCTACTGTTTAACGAGGAAAATATCCGATATACCCACAACTTTAAAAATAGTTAAATGTATCAATTGTACTAAACACATTAATAAGAAAAATCCTGAACTGCAGTGTACAAAGTATGGAAAGTGGCTTCATGCGTCATGTGCATTTCAATTGATCAGCTGACAGCTCTGTCAGCAACGGAAGCTGTAGACTGGAAATGTAAGGCATGTGTAGGGTTGCAGAAACCAAAACGCCACTCCTATATTATACCCGGCCCTGACGAAGATGAAACATCTGAGGCCAAGGGATCCATTACTGCTACTTCGGGAAGATCAATGGACAATAAAATGCTGCAGCCAGTTCTGCAACAATTACGGACTGAAATAAGAAATACTATCCCAGAAAAATTGCAACAAACATTAAAATTTTATTCTGACAAAATTGATGAATATAGTGTAAAAATTAACAACTACGAGACTAACATAAAAATGTTATAGAAACAGTGTATTGATGTAAAAAGCAACTTAAAAAATATTAATAATAATAATAATAAGTGATTTTAGCAATTCTATTAGAATGGAGCTGGGGACGGATAAGTGTGCGGTCCTCCATGTTGAAAGGGGAAGGGTTGCTAACTCTGAGGGCATAGATTTATCTATGCTCATCAACATAAGGACCCTTTCCGGGGCTGAAACATACCGATACCTGGGTATGTCACAGAACATCGGTGTAGATGAGGCGGGTATGAAACAGTCAGTTTGCGATGTGTTTTATGCACGCTTGACCAAAGTGCTTAACAGCCTTTTGTCCGGTTTGAATAAGACGCACGCATATAACGGTTGGGTCATGCCTGTTCTCATGTATACCTTTGGCATACTTAGGTGGACTCAGACCGAACTAAACGCTCTGGACAGAAAAGTCCGCACTATAATGACGTCCCACAGGATGCATCATCCGAGATCGTCAGTAATGAGGCTGTACTTGCCGCGGAAGCATGGTGGGCGCGGCTTTTTAAGCGCGCTTACCATGCATAATCGCGAAGTGTGCAGCCTCCGTAATTACTTTCTGACGAAAGCGGATGATCCATACTATAGTGACGTTATTTCTTATGATAAAGGACTTACCCCTATATCCTTAGCCAACGAGCAATGGCGGGACCCGGCAGTACAGAGCATTTCCGACCGGGAGACCGTATGGAAGGAGAAGGAGCTCCACGGGAGGTTCTACAAGGCTCTACACGAGCCTTTCGTAGACACAGTCGCCTCCCTCCACTGGCTACGTTTCGGTGACCTCTTTGGGGAAACCGAGGGTTTTGTCTGTGCGATACAGGACCAGGTTATTAAGACCAACAATTATCGGAGATACATCCTAAAGGATGGCACCGTTGACGTCTGTTGAGCTTGTCGCCATCCCGGTGAGTCACTTAGGCATGTCATCTCCGGTTGTTCGGCGCTTTCTAACTCTGAGTATTTGCACAGACACAACTTAGTAGCCAGGATTCTACACCAGGAGCTCGCTCTGAAATACGGTCTCGTGGATCGGAAACTGCCGTATTATAAGTACTTGCCGGAAGCCGTGCTCGAAAATGACCGCGCCAGGCTCTACTGGGACCGGGCCATCATCACAGACAGGACTATTCTTGCGAATAAGCCTGATATTGTGCTGATGGACCGGGCACAGTCAAGGATATTTTTGGTCGACATTACCATTCCTTATGACGAAAACCTCGTGAAAGCCGAAACAGATAAGGTGACAAAATATCTGGACCTGGCTCACGAGGTGACCGACATGTGGGGTGGTCTGCCGGCCGAAATTATTCCTGTGGTCGTTTCTGCGAACGGGTTAATCCCAGTCAGCCTCTCGGGTCACCTGAGGCGACTGGGACTCCGTGACGGATCGCTCCAAGCTCAAATGCAGAAGGCGGTGCTCCTCGATACCGCCCGCATCGTCCGCCGGTTTCTTTCCCTTTCCCCCTAACCCTCGGCCGTTTGGTCTCCCCTGCCGAGGGCTTCCATCTGGTTGGGTTTTTATATATTTATGTAATTTTTATGTATTTATTTTATTGATATTTATGTAAGTTTATCATTTTCATTTTCAATTATATATTTATACAGCCCAACCAGATGAGAAAACTATACAAATACCCCAGATAATAATAATATTTGGACCTGGCTCACGAGGTTACCGGCATGTGGGGTGGTCTGCCGACCGAAATTATTCCTGTGGTCGTTTCTGCGAACGGGTTAATCCCAGTCAGCCTCCCGGGTCATCTGAGGCGACTGGGACTCCGTGACGGACCGCTCCAGGCTCAAATGCAAAAGGCGGTGCTCCTCGATACCGCCCGCATCGTCCGCCGGTTTCTTTCCCTCTCCCCCTAACCCTCGGCCGTCTGGTCTCCTCTGCCGAGAGCTTCTATCTGGTTGTGTTTTTATATATTTATGTATTTTTTATGTATTTATTTTATTTTATTCATATTTATGTATGTTTACCACTTTCATTTACAATTATATATTTATACTGCCCAACCAGATGAGAAAACTTTATAGATACCCCAAAATAATAATAAATAAGAGAATAAAATGAATCAACTAAAACAAAGCCAACTGATGTCTCAAATAGAAATTTGTGGTGTTAATGAATTGGCGAACGAAGATCCGGTAAATATAGCTAAACAGGTAGCTACAAGGATGCAGGTAAGCCAAAATGACATAATTAAGGCATACCGTAAGAGAAAAAAATCGCACTGAGCCTTCAAATCGGATAGAATATTCACCAATCATTGTTACGCTGCAAGATGGAGCGCGAGACATCTGGCTGAATAAAGCCAAGATGTTTAAAATGACAGCGACCGAACTAGGATTACAGGGTAGCGATAAGGTGTATTTACGCGAATTATTAGCACCTGGGATTGCATTTCTATTATGAAAGACCAAAGAAACACTTAGAGATTCTTTCAAATTTTTAAGGTGCAAAAATGGCACAATTCTATTACGTAAAGAAGAAAAGGCGAAAATAATCCTCATACGCACTCCAAGTTAAAATCAGTTCAGGCCTCGTAAAACAAACCTATTAATTAATAAGAAAGTGTTGTAGTTGAGTGTTAAGTGCCTAAAAACTTTTTTCTTTTTTTATCTCTCTTTTTATATATTATTGTTAAATATTTGTTTTTGTGTATACTTGTTCAATATATTTTAATTACCTGAGATAATTGATATTGTAGGAATAGAATACAATATAAATACTTACATTATAAACTGTGATAATTGGAATGAGTTTGCGGGCAAACTACCCTTAGATAATTGTTCGCTTTTGTTTTTTCATGTAAACATATCATCATCATTTAAGAATTTTGCACATCTGGAATATATAATAAAAAACACCACACATATCATTCACGTAATCGTAGTTACTGAGGCTAATATTCAATATCATCGTGTTAACATGCTTAATTTACTGAATTATAACTTATATTACGAACTAAGAAATAACAGGAAAGGTGGCGGCATTATGCTATATGAACATATAGCATAATGCCTATATATGATAAGTGAACACTTATCCTGGCATTTTAGCAGATTTCATGTATTAACGAAGGAATGCGAATGTATTAATGACCAAATAAACTTAAAAATCTACAGGCCTTTGTGCTGTATACAGACCACCTGATACAAACAAAGTCCGTTTTATTAATGGGTTAGCTAATATTGTAGGAAAACATACGCCTAAAATTTGCTGTATAATTATGGGTGACATGAATTTAAATACAAAGAAAACAAATCCCACCAGCACTAGATATCATAACACACTTGACCGTGATATAACGCAATACACAAGAATAGAAAAATACGGAGCCGAATAACAAAATCATGTTTATATCACATTCTGATTAGAACTGTATGCAAAAACTGGGTTTATATGGCCGGTGTGAAAACCAGCCGACCATAAAATAATAGGCTGTGCGATAATCGGACTCAGAACGGAGTTCGAACTGACTCACTGGCTCAGAACGCGCCGCAATGCATTACTAAGTTGGATAATTAACAACTTCGTAGTGAACACAATCTAATAGATTGGAAGTTGCCATTGAATTGCTCCGATCCAAACGACATTTTTAATTATATACGGGCGCAAATAAATAACGCATACGATAAATGCAAGTATACAAAAACTAGTTATTAGTAAGCGCAAATATTGAGTGTGGTCTAACTACTAGTAACTAGTAAATATGTGTAAAAAACGCGATGAACTATTTAAAATATCGTCGACAGTTCGAACTGCGCGGACGTGTGCATTATATTTAACAAACGTATTAAAACATTTTACTAATAACGTTAATCTTAAGCAACTGAAATTGATACTTATTAACTAATAACTTGTGAAGTGAATTCGGCAAACCAAAGTTTATTTTACACACGACTTATTAACTCTGTGATGAAATCATAAATCTTACGAAGCTCCCCCTCACCTCCTCGGGTAAAGAAGATAGCTGCGATTTTTCGACCCGCTCGCACTACAGCTAAGTTCATAATTGCATTGTTTCTTACTGTCTACACCTACTAACTGGTTACAAGGATGTCTACACAACAAACATCGCGCAGCGAGATTCTCGCAAGCGGAAGCGGAGGCGGGGATTCCACGTCGAATTTATCGAATTTTGAAGATGATGAAAAATATATAGATATTCGTCCTAGAAAACGAAAAGAGCGTCCAATGGAATATGAATTTAAAAAAGACCTAGCTGAGTTCCGTAAAGAAATAACAAATTTTTTTAAAGAGTTCTCTGTCTCCCAAAATGAAACTCTGTCGCATATTCGTCAAGAGGTTACAGAAATCACGAATGAAGTTAAAAGTATCAAAGAAACTACTGAAAAATTAAACTCAAAATACGAAACACTACAACAGGAAATTGAAAATATTAAATTAGAAAATCAATTACATCAAAATAAATTAAATCAATTTGAACCAAGTATTACTCCTGTGGATGAACCGAAAACCAACCGAAAATCGCTTTCGCCTATTCAAGAAGACCTTATGCTGGAACTCAGAGACCGATGCCAACGGGAGAAAAATATTGTACTTGTGGGTATAAATGAAATTTGCGACAAAAATTACCTGGCAAGACGTAAACACGACGATTACGAAGCGTTTAAAATTATTTCCTCGTTATTTGAACAATGCCCTAAACCTATAAAAACAATGCGCCTGGGTAAATACAACCCGGCAAAAAGTCGACCGCTTAAAATATTTTTTGATACGACTTCCATACCTAAACAATTACTGCGAAATAAAGCAAAGTTGACTAGTAACATACGATTATATGCTGACCAAACTCCATCTCAGATACACTTTTTAAAACTTCTTTCTGAAGAGTTAAAAAGGCGAAAAGAAAACGGTGAAAATGGCCTTATAATTAAATACATTCAAGGAGTACCTAAAATAGTCAAGTCAAAAAACGATTAAAACGCACTATTCGAGATTCGGTTATAAAATATCCTATTACTACGGACAACAATTACATCACGCACCACTTACTCCAAAAGTACCAAGATCTACCTGTTACAAGCACAAATTCTTTAAAAATTTTCTATGCTAATTTACGAAGTATTAAAAAACCAGGAAAGTTCGAGGAAATTCAATGTATACTTCAAGCAGTACCTATGTCACTTCATATACTTATTTTCACCGAGACCTGGCTTACATCAGAGCAGGATGCTTGTCAATATCATTTGACTAATTACACGCATATTTACAATTTCAGAAAAGTACACAAGGGGGGTGGAGTATCTATATACATTCACAATAGTATTAAATATGACTTGACAGAAGAGCTAACAGAGAGTGGAAATCATTATTTATCGATATATATAAACAAATTTGCACTTAATATAGGTGGGATATATAAACCCGGTGAGTCAAACGTAAATAAATTTTTGGACATATACTCCAACCAACTAGAGACCCGTAAAAGAGCAATAGTTTTAGGTGATTTTAATTTGGACCTCTTAAATACTAATAACAATATCATTAACTACTTGAGAACGATAGAAGAATCTGGTTACGAAATATTAAACAAAGTGGAGAAGGAATACTGTACACGTGAGACAGCTACAACCCATACTATATTAGACCACGTATGTACAAATTTAAACAATAATATATTTTCACTCTCTATCCTTGAATCGTCCTTATCTGACCACAAACAAATATTTGTGGAAGTATGTAAATATAAGCCAGAAAAGCTGCAACGGGTCCATTATACTGCCCTGGACTACAATGGCCTGATAAAAAGATGCACAGAAACCCAGCATATAAATAAGAACTGTGACTACAACTATCTTGAAAACTACATAAT